TATAATATATATATATATATATATATATAATATATATATATATATATATATATATATATACATGTATATATATATAAAGTTAGAGAAAGAGAAAGAGCATCGGCAAGCTCCACAGGGAAGCTTCCATCGGGGTCATCATATAAAGGTCAGCTGTTGTAACTATGCAAAAACACGGAAATCTCTTTGCGACGTCCCTCTACTGTTAGCTTATATCCTCCTTATCATCCTAAGTTTGCTTACAGGACTGCATCATCTTAGTCTAGTCAATATTCTGCATATTTTATTTTAACGTGATTTTAATTTCGGTAACCCGACAGGAAGAAATATTGCGTTATAGGGGCTTAACATATGATTTTAGTCCAAAAAAATCATTTTTCGTTTCAGCGGCAGAAAGATGAAATATGTGCATTAGCAATCTCGAAACAGTTTATTCTCGTTGTAAGTTTTTGAATTGAAATTCCTCTTCATCATATTCTCCGAAATGTTTCCAACTATTACTTTGATTTAATATGTGCAAATTGTCAGTACTTAAATTCTTCCCTGCTTTTTCACTAAAATTTTTTGTACAATTACATGCAATAATGATACAATAGGAATGGTACAAATTACATGTATTAACAATACAATATATGAAATTAGCACCTGAAAATGGGGAAAAAAGGAATAATTGCAGTGTCGAAATTCCGGAACGGCTAATTATTATTCATTACCAGAAGTAAAACTACAATCAACTCTTAATTTGGGTTGTTGTGTGGAAAAATTGGAATTGAATTGTAATGGAACACGACTCGCCGCACTTACTACCAAGGGATTAAAGTTATTCGAATTACGTGAAAGTACCGTAATATCATTATACCTTGAGCGAAGCGATGTTTGGAACATTAAGTGGGATTCGGTAAATATACCATTTTAAAATAAATTTTTAAATAATGCAGTATTGAGGATAAGGAATTTCCGAAGATATTTAGACATTCAATATTCTTCCATTATTGTATCGTACTCTTCTGCCCATATATGTTGAGAAAAAAGGATAAATGGATAAATATATCAAATTTGAGTAAATATACGGCAAATTTGTGTACATCGGACTAATATAAACAATGCCGAATTTGGGCAAATATGTGCAAATTCTGGATAAATATACATTAAATTATCGTAATTCTCATTTGTATGAGTTGTATTTCAGGAGAAAGATGATACGATAGCGGTAATGGAGAAAACGAGACTGTATGTTGTGCGAAATAAAGAAACTGAAGAACCAGTTGTTAATAATGGTTACATTTGCTCCTTTAAAAATCTCATCGTTCGTACCGTACTCCTGGATGAATTGATGAAAAATCCTGAAACACCTCATAAATCGTTCATCATTGATGTCGAAATTAAGGTAATCTAGCGGTCAGCTTTTATCTACCTTTTATCAAATAAATTACTAGCGAGGGAAATAGATTATGTTATTATATAGCTTTCTATTTGTGATGTACAGAAATATATTTGTAGGATGATTCGTTATCAAGAGTTTCACTCTAAAAAATAAGCTTTTCCGGATTTGTTTCCAGTTGCTTCGAAATGTGAAAAATCTCTTAGAGAAGATGAAAATTGATGAAGCAACAGCATTTATCGAAAGGAACAATCATCCAAAATTATGGGCATTATTGGCTGAGGTTGCTTTGAATCGTCTTGATACAGTTATTGCGGAACATGCATTCGTGATGTTGAAGGATTATGCGGGAATACAACTTATTAAACGGATCGGAGCTTTGCAAGTGCGTCACATCAACAGTATTTCAACGTTTTTCATTTTACCTCACTAGTTGATCATCTGATTTGGATGTTACCCTTCTTGAGCATTATCATATACCAGTTACTCTGAGAAAAAAAGTGTTCAAATAGTTTAAAAATTACATCATTCTTATGCAAATATTCTCAGCATGATGGATTCAAGAAAGCTGAAGTAGCAGCATTTTATGGACGCATCGATGAAGCGGAAAAAATTTACATGGAAAATGATCGACGTGATTTAGCAATTGAACTTCGGGAGAAAATGAACGATTGGTTTCGAATTGTGGAGATTTTGCAAAAAAGTCGGCAACCGGGTGATGACGAGTTATTGAAAAAGGCATGGAATCATATTGGTGATTATTATGCTGAACGACAGAAGTGGTGAGATAATGACGAAGAAATTTTCTTGGATTTGCTTGTGTTCGGCATATCATATTGTAATATTAGATGACATTCAATAATCTAATTTGTAGACCTTTGTCACTTTTTTAAACCAGCAGTATTTGATGTCGTTGATAAATTTGCAGCTTATCACTATGCTTATGTATTACTTCAGTTTAATGAAGGCATATGATTACAGGAAATACTGACCTTTGGCACAATATTAAAGTAATCCAATTAGTTGGATGTTAGATTTAAAAAAAAAAAAAAACCAAAAATTCATTTCAGGAAACAAGCCGAGAGCTACTACGAAAAAGGAGAAAATCATGAGCAACTAATTCGATGCTATCTGATGGATGATAATTATGATAATATGGAATTATTGGCAAAGCGTTTGCCTGACGGGGACAAACTTATCTCGGTTTGAGTATCTCAATTTATGTCTACTAGTTTATCTCTGTTTGAATCTACTACTTAAACTATCGATTATTTTAACTAATTGTTTATATTCACTTAAATATTAATTGAAAATTAACAGTTATCTATAATTTTTTAATTAATAACGGTTGAACAATGCTCATTACCTTTATTTATGTGGAATCGGCATTATTTTCTTCCTTTCGCATCGGAAAAGTGACAAACTAATGAACGGATAAAATGTAGTTGAAATAAAGAGGGGTTTTAAAATAGGTTAGGTTCCTATTAAATTTGGTTCTCCTTTGTATCGCTGTAACAACACTTACTACTTTGGTAAGTTTAAAATTCCTTTACTGCAGGAAATTGGTGAAATTTTTGTTAGTGCTGGTCTATGTGAACAAGCAGTACAATGTTTCGTACGGGTGTGTATATATTCTTTCAAAATAATTTGAGGTTTTTCGGTGCCAGTTAACTTTTGCTGTTTTATTGTTTGAAATTATTTATCTTGTTTCAAGTATCTTCGTCAGATTTGGTAATTTGATAATATTTGGAGTTTAAAAAGTTCTTGGAAAAACAAAATTTATCTGCAGTTGCTTTCTTTTTTTTCTTTTTTTGTACTTACAAAGATGATACGGATTATCAAAAAAAAAAAAAAAAATGATGTTAAATCGATAATATCTTGTTGTCATATTCTTCAAGAGGAAGTAAATTGTAACTGAAAACATTTCTCCGTGGTTAATTAATATCCGAAGGAAAGGAAACAGTTATGCAATCGTAGTAAATGATAGCTTCCATACTAAGATGTCGAAACAAAATGATAAAACTTTTGACCAATTATTTATTCGTTACCTTCAGTGTGGTATGCTAAACGAAGCATTAGATGCTTGTATACAATTGAATCAATGGGAACAAGCGGTCCAACTGTCCAAGACGTATAATCTTCGTGATGTCCACTTATTGCTTAATCGTTATGCTGAACAATTGACAGGTATTGGATGTTATTTCATGATTGAATTTCATTACTTTTCATTAACCCACTTCTATACTTACTAGTTCACACAACAATGTCCTTTTACAATGTTACGATTTATCAGAAATGATGATATGATCTTTGATGAGTATAAGCCTTTGAGAAATGAATGATATTGTCGATATATTTCACAGAATATAACAAAAAATTTCCCAAAGATTCATGCTCGAATATAGCAACGAATATATATGGTGGAAGTCGATCAATATTGCCATACCTCAACATTGTATCATTTTAGACTATCGAAATTGATAAATGATATAATTTTGGAATACAAATTCCTTTTTAATTAAATATTTGCGAAAAATAAATATAATAGGAAGGGAGCAATCAGAAGCTATTAAGAAGGCGATAATTAATGTGTTGTAGGAAGTAACGAGAAAACGTTAGCAGCTGTGCAACTTTATAGAAGAGCCGGCAAATATTTAGAAGCAGCTCGCATCATTTTTGATGTATGTTAGTCCTTTCAATTAATACTGTAATCATTTATAATCATTTCCATAACCTTTTGCGAGATGTTTTGTGCGAAATAAAAAGAGTAAGCAGACGAACATGTCACATCATACATATTCAAATCATTTTAGCTGATGAGATATCAGATTCATTGGAGGATTTTATCTGATACTATATCAAATGATTCGTTTATCCAAATAATTTAAAGTTAATTGTTTTGAATATCCTCCTTATAAGAATAGAGATTTCTTAATTATTTATATTTACAGATTGCAAATAATGAACGTTTAAAGCAAGCTGAAGCTTTACGTCTGAAAAAACTTTACGTAATGGGCGCTCTTCTTGTTGAACAGTATCATGAACAAAGTAAATCAGAAATTGCTAGGGAATCGACAAATAAATCTGATGTTAGGCTTTGCATTTTGTTCTGTAAAAATTCTCCCATCCGATATTCATGAAGGAGACGTCATATGCAAATGATTCCCTTTCCCTCTCCCCTTATCAATCCAAAACGACGTGTAATCTCTTTCTTTCCTTATCAATCAATGTGTAACATTGTTAATATAATCTTTGATCATATAGCCATGCAATTAGTATCTTATTTTTCTGATGTCTTCAACTTAATCATTAAAAACATAGGAAAAATCGGAAGATTGGTTTAACAAAAAAAAGAAAAAATGCCAAATATGTTCGAAAAGTATCAGATTTCCGCAAGAAAATACTTGTATTTCAGGCAGAAATAGCTTTAAAAGGATTGCTAGAAGAGGATAGCAAAATTTCGCTTGCTGATAGTACTATCATTGATAATGCATGGCGTGGTGCTGAAGCATATCACTTTTACATGCTTGCACATCGGCAGCTTTATAACGGTTCATTTTCGTTGTTCAAGACTTATGAAAACATACAACTCCGCTTAAATTTTTTATCATAATCGTAGGAATTAAATACTTATCACTATTATAATTAAATGAACAATAAGAAATGCTTAGGAATTAGAAGAGTACTGTAGTATTTAATTAAATCCCTTTATGGAAATATATTTCATTCTACGAATTCATTAATTCTGTCGGGGAAACATTTTTGTAGGTTTATTTTTGTTGTTTTAACTCCTCCTTTATTAATCTTATATGATATGGTACAATATCGCACTGAAATAATAATGGGGACGAAATGAACAATACACAACAAACATTGATAGATACTGGATGGGTATCTGCTGTTGAACTGTTGTTCTGGTTGAGTGCCTGACTATGTTGGATTGAGTGATTGCTTGAGCTTTTTGGATTTTGTAACTGCCCGTCCGGATAATTGATCCCAACTCCTTTTATAGTGGAAATGGTTTAATATTCCAAACGCATTGGCTTAATTACCAAACTAACGGTTCTTTACAAAATTTCGACATTTGCACATAAGTTCCTTGCCATATTATGATAATTTCACGTAAATTTGATTAACAGATTGGGAAAAGTTTACAACAAACGGTTTGTCTGCAACATCTAAACATTGCAGTTAAAATTGGCTAAAAAATTGGAAGAGTTGGATTTGGATAAATGATTCATTACTTCAAGTATCAAAATATTTTATTAATTTTGTCTAACGAATCATTTACCTAAAAAATATTCTAACTTCTGATTAAAACAACTCATAGCATTTTTCGACTTCGCCGATGAATTTATGCCTTTCATTATCTCACCCATCGATTACTTAGACTTTTTCAATTAAAGTTTTCATTTATATTAGTGATTTATCATATTAAACTTCTACTTTTACTATACTTTTTTAATCAGTTTAAACTATTGTAATATTCAATGGAAAAAAAATTTGCAAATTTTGCTCGAATTGAATAAAAAGGACTTACAGGTGATGTGGAAAAGGCAATGATGACGGCATTGCATTTAACGGATTATGAAGACCTTATCGATCCTGCCGAAATTTATTCCCTTCTCGGTTGGTTATATTTGCAATTATTTTTGTGATGTATAATAAAATTTAAATTTTTGGCTAAGGATATTTTAAATTTTAGATCATTTAACCAAAAGTGCATAATATTATCCAACCTTGTAAAGTTATCTTCAGTTTTCCAATTAAATATTTGTAGCTTTGTCGAGTTGTGTTACACGACAGTTTGCGGTATGCAGTCGTGCATTCATCAAACTGGAAAGTTTGGAAACATTTACAGCAGATGAGAAGGAAACTTATAAAAAACTTGCCATAAAAATTTTTACGAAGTAAGCTTAATTTTTTGTTTGGAAATGGCAAAAAAGCGAGAAATCATTAAAGACTTTAATTAATAATTTCTTGTTGTTTACAGATATCCACCGAAGGATACACGAATGAATAAAGTGGAATGCGTGGGATGCTATGCACAGATTCAAGATTATTGTCAAGTATGTCCATCGTGTGATATCAAATTTCCGACTTGTGTGGTAACCGGTCGACCGCTTCTTGCTCAGCAATTTTGGCTCTGCCCAACCTGTAAACATCGTGCCTATGAGGAGGAAATTAATTTGTTGCAATTTTGTCCATTATGCCATGGAAAATTATGATCGTAACTGATGTTGAATATATTTAAAATTGATCAAAATTCCTGGTATTGTTGAAATAATAATTTATATTAAATTTTCTTCACCCTGAATCATTCGTCTTAACCCTAAATCATTTCTAATAGGCCTTACAAGTTCACTCATATCATTAAGGCTATTAGGATAGGTTATAAGTATCATGGCCCATAAAGTCTGGTCAAAAATTAGTTTCTGTATTCTCCAAAGATCAATTTCATTTATGTACTCATTAAATAGACTGGAAAACCAAACAGTGGAAAATATTGCATGTGGAAACACTGATCTACAATGATTTTTAATTTGTTGTAATAATATTTATATGGCATATTTCATTAAAAAGGAGTAAATTTACCCCAATATTTTGTTCAATTCATAAGATTTAACAGAAAATTGCTTGAAAATCGAAAAAAAAATGAAAATAAGACTTATTATATGAATTTTGTAAACTGTTCCTCAAATATTAATGTTTTTTTTTCGATTATTGTTTGCTCATTGGTTAAGTTCCTCCGAGTGTTAAGTGTAAGTTTCATTTTAAAATTGTTGGTAAATGTTATGATATATGGAATGTAACATTATTATAATTGTTTATTAAGTTTCTAATTGCAAATTTCGATTTGAATTTTCTTTCAAGTAATAAATTTGAAATTGCTATCGAGTGTAGTTTTCACTTTAAATTGTTCGATTTAGTACCAAAATTTCATTACATATTTCATCAGATAATATCATTGTTTCATATGAATGAATTGAATGATAATACTTTATTATGCTACGAACAAAACAGCGTTGAGTTGATGGAATAAGATAATGATATCACTGAATGATTAAAATGATATGAGTAAAATTAAAGAAAAAAATAAACTTAAATTATTTAAAAATTTTGACGGGAATCTTGGAAGCTGATATAAATATGTAAAAAAAGGAAATACGACGAAAAAATATTTGTAAAGAAGATGGGTAGGTTGAATTATAATGAAATTTTACAGAAAAATTATCGAAATTATGTTTAGCGGATTTAAGGTGCTTCGAGAGTTTACTGGAAATATTTTCTCAAATAAGGAAAAAGAAATTCACTTATTTTTATTACGAAATTTATTGCTAAATTTTATTGCAAAATCCAAACATAAGTAGGCAAATATATTTTGAAGATGGAAGTAGACAGGAAAATTAAGTTAATCATTTCAAAAAACGAGGAAGTTCTCTTAACGAGTGGAAGATTACTATGTTTTTAGATCTCTTTCTGAATTAAACACTTTATCACGGTAATATTATTTGAACAAAATTGATTTAATTATGAAGAAAGTTAGAAAAAACTTTTTAGACAACTGAAACAATCAAAAAAAAAAAACAGTTATATGTTATCAGAGGATTATTGCAATGAATCCTTGTTATTTGTTCTCATTATTATCATCTTTCCGAACTGCATCTATCACATAATAATTATTGTTCTAATATGTTACTTCAAATTATTTCAAAATTTAATTCAATTTGCTGCCCACAAAGTTCGGAGAAGAAGCGCGTAATTCTATTAATGAATAAAATCGCTTATAATGAATTCAATTAAATTATTATTATTAAAAATAAGGGTGAATCTGTTTGTAGATGGGATTATTTTCGGATGAAGAATAATGCTATCATATTTTCAAAAGAATTGTTTATCAGCTGTTGGTAATGATTATTAACCAACGAAGATTTAACATACCCTGAAGCAGCATTGCAGCATTATGAAAAACTCGCCCTTAATATAAGTCGCTATTGTCACATGTTATCTATAATTACTACCATTCAAATTGCTTATAAGGATAATAATCTTCTACCTGGAGGGGATCTGATAGAAATTTTACCGGTCTTTGAATATTACTTATTTTCTATAAAACTCCAAGTTATTTCCGCCTGTTTCTCTATTCGATAAGGAAAGGATATAAATTTGTGTCAATTTGATCAAATGTTTACAATAAAATAATCGTGTCCGAATTTCTTACATCAAATTTTGATTTGAAATTTTGAAACTTTTTTGAGCATAAAAAATTGCACTTCGATTCTTTATTTTTTGCTTCTCTAGTTTTCTCATCCGTTTTCGATTATGAAAAATTCTTTGAGAATAATTGATGCTAAAATATTTTTATATTACAGAAAGAGAGTTAATAATTAATTAATTTGTAAGGATGAATAATTTTTGGCATCTATTGTGTCTATGGGCAATTTTCGTTCATTTTTCCAGTTCGCAAATTTCCCGTAAGTATTTAAGTAAATTATTAAGTTTCAAAGTAACTCTTTTTCAATAAATTCAATCTAAAGTAAATTGACCGATGAATAAGAACCACTCGTATGCGTTTTCAGACCTTCATTGGAAGCATTAAATATTCGAATTTATATTTTGCTACCACATATTGCATTATGGTTAAAGATTATGGCAACTGGCCAAAAAACAATTTTTAAGGTCATCTTAATGATAATCTTTCAAATTCTGTCGTAATTTTCAGACATCAAATATTGGGAGAAACTTGAACCACATGATGGCCTGAAATCCGAAATTAGGTTGAACGGTAAGTTATTAATAATAAAGTCAAAAGGATCGATGATTATACGTATGCCAATAATTATGACACTTCATGCCGTTATACGTATACCACTACTACTGTTATTATTACTCATTACCATTAATTTTAATAGCACTTTGAACATGTATGAAAAATATGAAAAGTTTTCCAGAAGGAAAAGACTTAAAATTCGATTTTGGTACCGCAAGAAATGAATTAAGAGAAAATATTGTTTCCAAATGGATTCGTCTCAACGGACAGTTTAACTCTAATCATGCCTTAAATCTTCCGGAAGCAACTCAATTCATCAAAAAGGAGCCGAAAGAACAGTAGGATAAATTGATAATAATTATGCTAAGAAGAAAATATGGAAGTTATAGAAAAAAGTAAATAGATGAAGAAGATTAGGTAATATGTGTGGGAAAAAGAAATGAAATAAATTGACAAAGAATAAAATAACAAAAAATGAAATAATTGGCAAGAAATGAGATAATTGACAAGAAACGAAATAATTGATAAGAAATGAAATAATTGATAAGAAATGAAATAATTGATAGGTGTAAAATTGGATAAATTTCCCTCCTCATACTTATTAATATAATTGCTTCAG